AATCTCTTTATTTCTGATAAAGCAGGGCTTGTGAATAAGTTGGGCATTACTTTGATGTTGGGTGGATTGTGTACTGTGCGTTATCCTAAATTCATTCTGCCTGCCAGCCGGATTACTGTGATGTGAAAAACTGAGTTTACGTTACAAAACTGTAATTCTCTTAGGTACACGTTCTTTTTACCTTACAGTCAACATGGGGTTAATGATCCCTTGGCCGATTAGGAGTCGCAGATGATGAGTGAATGTTTATAGCACAGGTGTCTTGTTTGCTCACGCATTTATTGAAGAGCAGACTCAGTGCAACATTGGTGGAGAAACATGCAAGTCAGCATGGAAGAAAAGTTTGTCCTGCTTTGTAGGTTCCAAAACACTTTCCATTTTATCTCTGCTGTGTTATTACATTTGGAAATAAGCAGTAAATCCTGAGGTTTTTTTTCTTTCCAATCTGTTCATTTTTGGTGGGGGCCTTGAGGGAGGGCTTTATTTGGGGTTTTCTTTCTTTTTGATTTCTATTTCTCTTTGGTAAACAGAGTTGGCAAGAACTCTTGGTCTTTTTTCTTTTGTTATTGTTTGCATAGATCACAAAGGAAGTTGTTGAAAAGGTTCTGCTATTGTATTTTGGGAATGATGATCTTTCCAAATTTACTAAAGTTGCGTTAGATTGTTGCACTATGTTCTCCAGAATACTAGCCCTTGAAACCTAACTGAAAACTGGATGAAGAACAGACTGTTATTTTTTGTCAGGACACGTCATCAGTGGCCTGTGATGCACACTAACTAGCAGCTGATTTCTGGATGAAATTTGAAATATTTGATTTAGCAAGCTCTGTGTTATTGGGATACTCTTTCTCCAAAAAGATTTCCTCCTCACCTCCTCTAATAAGTACTAGAGTTATGATAATCCAGAGTTTTTTCATTTATTACCAGCTTTCATTTCCATGGTATAAATGGAAAGAGGTGACAGGATGTTATTTCTGGGGAGAATGGGACTAGGGGTATTTTAGAGTGCTTCCCGCTGTGGTTCACAAAAGCCTGAGTGTGATGTCTCTGCAAGGCCAGTTTGAAAAACCTCGCTCAAAGTGGTACTCAAGTGGGCACTGATTTTGGGAGGAGGATGGGGGTGGGAAGCCAGAAAGATCATCTTTGGGTTCATTTTGCCTTGTGAAAGTCTGCATTAACAGATTTATAGTGCTTTTTGAATATAACAAGTCCATGTGCAGGAAGGCAATGGAAGTGTAAGTCAAATACGAGACACAGGGGCATTATGGGCAGGCGTGAGCAGTGGCATTACTCCCCTGTCTGTCTGTGATCCCTTGTGCCATGGATCCTGTGTGTGCTCACAAGGAGCAAGCTGCCTCCTTGCTTCTGCCCACAGCCTCCCTCTGAAATAGTGGCCCTCGTTCAGTCACTGAGGATGGACAGAATCTGTGGGACAAACTCCACACAAGCAGAAGGGAAAATACATCTGTCTTTATGGCATCTTCTTTGCTGGTGTTTATGCATCTTTTTTTCTTTGGAGCATAAATTTTTCATGAACTTTTTAATTTTTTTTAGACAAAACCCCCATTTTTTTTGTTGTTTCTAGATATTTTTGAATTATTTTTTATTATTCTTAAATATAATTTTAATAAAAATGAATTTTTGAGCCTGGTCTTGATCTGAGTGAAGATAAATGTTCTGCAAAGATGAAAATTCAAATTATCTGGACTGAATGAGGACTGATATTTTTTGGTATTTCTTTACTCTAGTTTGATTTTACCTATTAGTTGAAGTGTTTTGTATCCAGCTAGAAAACTAGGATTGCTTTGGTAAGTTTGTATGTGTGTGTGGTGCTGGAAAATTACTACATACCTGCAAATATATGCCATACTTTTGGAAACCTGACATTTTCTTCCTTCTACTGCTTTTATTGTGTTTTGGTTTTTAAGGGTTAAATTTTATAAAATTAACTTATTTTTATTTATTATTGGTATGAAAATAATTTTGTGAACCTTGTCTTATATAACATACGTATTTGTAGTGGTTTGGAAAAAAAAAAAGAGATCCAAAATCATGAGTATCTATCAGGTGGTTTTGTACACCTAACAGACTAGTGTATTGCTGTTAAAATTATATTGACGGATATTTGCTTGCTTGCTAATTTACTTTAAATATTTAAAACATTCTTGTAATTATTTACACTTAAAAGTACATTTAAAAAAAGCCACATTGTGGTTAATTTAAAGTTATACTGAGAAGATGGATTGGGTGTTCGAGCTGCAGGCAGAGAGAATGACGTGGAGCAGATAAGAAACAACAGCTTTGATCAGTGTTCAGTAGAAAAAAGAAGTAGTCAATTAAATGAGGCACTGAGATAAAGTAAATTCAAAGGCACATTCAGGTGCTGGAGAAGAATAAAAAAACCACCTAGATTTGGTGGGTTGGAAAAGGTAGTTACATAAACCATGTATATTCTATATCCATAACAATTTAGTAATGATATTGTCTTCACCATGTCACATTTGAAATATGCAAGTGTGTTATTTTTTTTTTCCTCTGCTTGATCTGTTAAACTCATGTTACCAGAAATGTGATGTTCTTCAGTTTTCCTGTCTCACTAGAAAGCCAGAGTTTTGCCATGTCAGCACTTCACTATTTAGAGTTTCTTCTGTCTTGCACAAGCCCCAAGAAAACAAAGTATTTAAATAAGTGTTCAAAATTAGCTGGTATATAAGCCTTGGTAAAGAATTTCAGGTTTAAAAAAAAGCGGTTTTCCTGCCAGCAGCAGTTTCTGCTATCAAACATGGCAAAGCCTAATGTTTCTCTAATAACTGATATAAATTCCGAGCTGTTCAATGAAAGTGTGACATATCTGGGGGCAGACATTATACATAAAAAGTCTTTGAGGGGGTGGCTGGCAGCACATGTGAGAGTGCCTAGGTGGCTTTGACTGGTAGAAAGCTTTTGGGTGTTGAGATGGTGCCCAGAGAAGTGGTGGATGCTCCATCCCTGGAGACGTTCAAGGCCAGGTTGGACGAGGCCCTGAGCAACCTGATCTAGTTGGAGATATCCCTGTTCCTTGCAGGGGGGTTGGACTAGATGACCTTTGAAGGTCCCTTCCAGCCCTAACCATTCTATGATTCTATGGACAGAAGCAGGAGATGTCAGGGAACTTTGGCTAGATGAAAGAGGATAGTTGAGCATACAAGTAACCAGAAAGCTGCTGAGGAGTACTGGTTTGGGGTATGAAGGTGCTGTCGATGCCAGATGCTTCAGTTCATCGAAACACAGGAAATTTTTTCTGTGCTGAAGAAGGGAATAAGGCAAAACTTGGTATGTCAGAAGAAATCTGAAAGAGAGATTGCCCAATTTCCTAGGTTCAAAGTGAGAATATGTTTGAGAAAACGTTGTCTCTGAGGAGATGAGCCAGCTGTTTACTAATTAGCAATTAAAACATGCATGGTAAGTGCATAATTACTGTAAACAGTAGGATTCTTCATGCTTTAGCTTGTGTGATGGATGCTGTCACATCCAATTGTATTTTTCTCCTGAAAAATTTGTAGCGCAGACTCTTAAAGTGTGTTTTGCAAGAGCTTTTTGACTTACAGGAGCGATCCCACAGGTCATTGCTGGTTCCCTTGGTAATTTCACATCTTCTCATCTTTTTAAATACAGTTTAGCATTCCTAAGCTACTCATAATAACCCCTTACCAAATGTGAGTTCATTGCCATTTACACTATAGATCTGTTTAGCTTTCATTCAGCAGCATGCTGCACATGTGAGTCATGCGCATGTCTAGTATGCCTAGTAATGCCTAGTACATGTCTAGTTACATGTACAGTGCTAGAACAAAAATTCTTTGGCAACAATTTTTCATAGCTTCTGACTTTTCTTGTGCTAAATCCACTTTTTAATTTTATGCAGGTGGTATTGTAATGAGAATAGAGACTGTTTCATGTAGTAGTATATCATTGACAATGTAAGGATAATACTTCAAAATAGCCTAGTTAATAATTTAAGTGACTTAGAAATTCGGGTGCAAATATTAACTAATTTTTGCCTCAGATTCTCAAACAACCTACTGATACTGCAGTTACGCTGAACCCTTTGGACAGAATCATAGAATCATAGAATGGCATAGGCTGGAAGGGACCTCAGAGATCATCTAATCCAACCTCCCTGTCATGGGCAGGGACGCCTCTCAACTAGACCAGGCTACCTAAGGCTCCGTCCAACCTGGCCTTGAACACTTCCAGAGAGGGGGCATCCACAACTTCTCTGGGCAATTTATTCCAAAGTCTTACCACCCTTGTACTGAAGAATTTCTTCCTAAGATCTAATCTAAATCTGTTCTCCTTCAACTTAAACCCATTTCCCCTTGTCCTATCACTGGACACTCTTGTAAAAAGTCCCTCCCAGCCTTCCTGTAAGTTAGCTTCAGGTATTGGAAGGCAGCTATTAGGTCCCCCCGAAGTCTTCTCTTTTCAAGGCTGAACAATCCCAGCTCCTGCCACCTGTCCTCGTAGCAGAGGTGCTCCAGCCCCTGGATCATCTTTGTGGCCGTCCTCTGAACACGCTCCAACAGATCTATGTGTCTCTTATGGTGGGGACACCAGAACTGGACGCAGTATTCGAGGTGGGGTCTCACAAGAGCAGAGTAGAGGGGGAGAATCACCTCTCTTGACCTGCTGACCACGCTGACAGGAGCAAGTACATTAAAAAAATGCTGATTTTTTTAAAATACTTTTTTAATGTCTTGAGAAAAATTTATTAGTTTATCAAATAGCTTTTTAATTTTTCAAGGTACAATGCCTGTTAACATCAGATTGATTTGTGAGAAACTCCCCTATATCTTACTGGTTCTACACCTTTCCAAGTAAAACAAGACAGGGGGTGATACAAGATTACTTTTTTGTCCATTTGTTGTTTCAAAACCAGATCTGCTTTTCTTATAATCTGCAGGAGAGGATGAGACTTAACCTCACTGAAAGAACTGTGCTTGTTGTTTGCTATTAACAGGCCAGCCTCTGATAACAGGCGCCACAGCATCCGGGAGAGGATGTCCAGTGCCAACGAGAAAGGGAGCCTGTCCATGGAGTCCACCAAGGAGACGCGGTACTGTGCGGTCTGCAACGACTACGCTTCAGGCTACCATTATGGGGTCTGGTCTTGTGAGGGTTGCAAAGCATTTTTCAAAAGGAGCATTCAAGGTAATAAACTGTTCAAGTGAATCCCTTTTACTCTGTAGTCTTGAGGAAACTATGAAGCTACTTGAGATTGCAGCCTGAGCCCAGGACGATGATATTTATTGAATTTTCATCAGCAGCTGCTGTGCTCTCCCTTATATTTTTAGCTTTGTATTTGGCGAATGCTTCTAGCAGGTTTATAATATGTTGTTATTTAGTTCAAGACTAATGAAGGGAAGAAAAGCATATCTATAGTCTCCTTGGTTTCAGTATGTCTGACCATGGAGACAGTGAGAAATCTAATTTAAAAACCAGTATTAGATCAAGATGACCACTCTTTCAGGCTACGTATATCTGTTTTCTGGGATTAAGTTCTTATTCAGAACAATATTCTTTGAGAATTCACTGTCAGATGAAGATTAAGTCATGTTGATTGATTTATTAATCTTAATTTAGTGCTCCATTACCAAGATGGTTCAATCCAAATCTCAACTCCTTGAAGATGTGAGATGCCTTTTGAGAACCAATATTGAAAAGGAATGTTTCCTTGATGAAATTGTGTTTGTATCTGTCAACAAAACATGGCTTTGAACTATGCACAGAATGGTTTAGTTCACAGTCTTCTCATGACTAGAAGTATACTGTGCAAGGTGTCCTGTGGAGTAAAGGGCATCTAACAGAAACAGTGTTAACTACTGTGACCAAATAATTCTTGATTTAAATGCCTGTCACACTCTGGAATGGATACTTTTTAGCTTCATTCAAAATCTCTTAAAATGAGTAAGAAGTAAGTAGGATTCTACTGAAAATACACGTACTGTTCAGTGTCTAAGTCTTACTTTGGAGAAGAAAATAAAATAGTTTCTTCCTTTCCAAACAGAAAATTAGTAAAGTGCTATGCTTTAGTTAGATTTCTATAGTTTTTTAAATCTCCAGGTGATACATAGGCACAAAAATTCCTTTTGCTCCTTTTTTTGAAGTAAACATAGTGAGGAAAAGTCTTTACCTCATATCACAAGGTGTGATTATTTCCTGCTTTGTTGCATGACTACCACTGAGGAGAGTTAAATAAGACTTACAGCATTCAGCTTAGAATTTTCCCCGCCTTAAAGAAAAAAGTGAAAGATTGTCTGTGGGGTAGACATTGATGAAACGATTTGAATGTCAGTGATTAGTTAATAGTTACTTGTATTTCTGCTTTTCCAGACTCATCAAAATGAATTTTAGAAAAGAGAGTGGTTACAGTCAGAGGCCAATAATAAGCAACACTGGAGGGAAAAAGGGTGAAATGCTTTTCTCTTAACATCTGAATGATTTACTTAAACTTGTGACATAGCGAGAACAGCTCCTTTATTGAGAGATTTTGGGATTTTTTTTTGTTTGTTTTGAGTTCTCCTGACCGCATCAGAATTATTAGAATTTTGAAATTCTATCCTTGTACTCAAACTGAACTAAGTCAACAACAAAGTGAAAACTGAAATATTCTTAACCAAAAGTAAGAGTTAGTTATCAAGTAATTGTACAGCACAGATCTTCAGCTTTTGGCCATTATGGAAGAAGAAATGAATCTGACTGTTTCACTGAGTTCCACGGTTCTATGTCAGCACTTGGGTGGTTTTGTCCTAGTCTCCATGTGAGCAAATGTGGATCTCTACAATGAATCTGTTATCTATTTGTGCAATAGTACATACTAATTAATAAATTTAGTTCTTGCTACATTTATATACTTAATGTAATTTTTAAATAGGTAAGCTTTAAAAATGTAAAGCCTAAGTTTTCAGTGTCCTGTAAAATGCCTTTCTTGATCTGTAAGTCATGTTGGCTCTGATTTAAGCCCATTGCTTCTTGCCCTATCCTTTGTGGGAATGAAGAAGGCTTAATTACTACAACCTTTTACATAGTTGAAGACTGTTATCATATCTTTCCTCAGTCTTCTCTTTTTTAGACTAAACAAATCCACTTACAGTAGAACACATTTTCTAGACTTCTGATCCCATTTGTTAAGCTCCTCTGTAATTTCTCCAGTTCCACTTTTGTGGTTAACAGCTGTCGTAAAAAATTATATCCACCAGTATCGAGAAAGTGATGCAAGAATATGAGTACTTATGAGAGAATTGTGATCACTTGATCACAGATAGTATGAATAGTCCTCTAAAAGACTTTTAATGTCATAGGTACCCAGTCTTGAGGAACTAAGGGATCTTTTTTTAATTTCCTACTGGATTTGAAAGAGATTTCTACCTCAGCAGTTACATATTCTCGTTGGACATGTGTCCAGTTTATGAAAATGACAGTAATTTTTAGATTGAGAATAAATGAGAAACGTGCCATTTACCTTGCAGATGAGAATTTTAAATAGGTTATGATTGGATATCTAGGAATAAATACTAAAAATGTGTAGGTGTATGTGTAGCAGAATATGTGTACTAAATATTATATCTACATTTATATTTTGTATGCATCCCTAAAAAAGGGACAAAAATTTCCTGGAAATCATATGATTAAACTGTATTGAGGTACACAAAACTGGTTTGTAAAAACAAAAGTAACACAGAATGCTTCCAGCAAAGATTTTTTTTGCTGGTTTTAGTGTGTTTTTCTTTAAATGCAAGATAACCATGCTACTTTTGTGCTTTGCTGTCCAGTATTTCTCAGTACATACACAGAGACAGAGATAATTGGTCATTTTTATGCTTCTCATGAGAGATTGCATAGGAGAATAGCTATAGTGAAGTTTGATGTTCTTAATACACTGTAGTCAAACTTTATGGTTCTTAATAGAAACACAGAAAAAAGTCAGTACAGACATGAGTAAAGAACAAACTGTATGGAGTAATCTGTTTTTCTGGGTGTGTATTTGTTATCCTCAGTGATATCTGAGGTATCTATACTTACATAAGTATATACTTAAATTTTGCTAAAACTCACATCTGCTTTGGACCTTACCCGAGGTGGAGATGAATAGCTTCGTTTTTATTCAGGGAGTCTGGAATGGTTCTGGAAATATTTTGTGAATTTTAAATGCTAAATTGTTTTTCTTTGCTGTCAAACAGTTAAAGCTTAATAGGAAATCTGAATTAGTAACTGTCTCTCAATATGTACAACTGTCTAATTTTGTTTAAACAACAGATGGTTGGTGGAAAATCTCAGTTGCCTCCTGAAACTCCCATGTCAGTCCATTTTGCTAGTTTATGTCCCAGAAACGATTTGGAATCATGTTTTGAGAAAACTTTGTGCGGACTCTATATTAATGTATAATGTTTCATGAGAGAGAAAAATCATATGACACCGAGAACACCGTGTTGCTTGGAGGTAGAAGAGTGCTTTATTCTTTGCCCAGCATATGTAGACTTTACAAGTGTATTTGGTCAACTGAGTTGAATCCAGAAGCATAGCAAGCAGTCACATCACAGCACACTATACTTCTCTACTAAAGTATTTATGGATTTTAAGACCAAGAAGGACCATTAGATCATTAAGTCTGCTCTTCTCTCAGTATAAACTTTATATGCTACCTATGTACAAAGCCTGGTAACTTGATGGAGGTGAATCTTTTACAATATACCTAGCCTTGATCTGTGGGCTCAAGAGCTTTCTTACAATGATTGCTTATTCTGATGATTTGTCCTCTCATCTGCTAAAAAATTGCCTTTCTAATTTGAATTACTTTGGCTTTTACATCACATCCACAAACCAGACTTAGTATCTCGAACTCTCCCCTGTGAGAACTTCTAATAATCAAATCACCTCCATATCTTAAGCGAACTAAAATGTCTCAGTCTCCCTCTGTATATATTTCTATCTTCTAAGTCCTTTGTCTTTATGTCTTTTCTGATTCCCTCTTTCCCCCCCCACCATAATAGCCACTTTAAAATCTGAATACCAGAATTGGGTGAAGTATTTCAACATCAGCCTTACAAATGCCATTTACAAATTAAAAATCCACTTGTGACTCATACATTCTTTCCCCTCCTTCTAATTCTCTTGGTTTTTGGATAGCCACCAAAAGGTATGGCACAGGAAGGAATTACTCTTACTGTCTCTGACAAGCACCCAACAAATGCCTACATATGAGTGACTGAGAACCCTCAGTGGGAGCACAAAAGATTCAGAATAAACAAGGGGTAACTCCTTACATTGGTGGGTATCTTGATCTCAGAATTGCTGAAGTATTTTAGAAATCCTCAGTTCTATTTCCCCTCCTCCTTCATATGCCCCTCTGATGTTTTTCAGGGGCACTTTTTCTGCCTTTTCTCACAGATGTATTCTCAGACAAAAATTTGGGATGTTTCACAAATATTCAGTTAAGAATTACTACATGACGCAAGGCAGTACCAGCCCAGTAAGAGTAGGTTGGCATTTGAGAATGGATGAATAGACGTGCTGAGGGATTCCAGAGGCCTGCCGTTAACATCTTGATCATAGAGATATAGTGGTCTCTGAAGTGCAGGAATTCTTGAAGCTGGGAAGTATTTTAATTGTGTAGCTTGAACTTGGATTTTATTTAACAGTTATGCCTTCTGACCATCAAGTAGGAGAGTTTTGGCAGTAGACTTTGAGTGTTATCAATTGTTTTAAGTTCACAGTGATAGAACTGTACTTTGTTGAAAGTATGTAGTTCAAACTTTAATACTAGGAGTGGTGGTAATACATACATATTTTCTTCTGAGTTGGAGAGAATTTCACTGGTAAAACATACATAATAAGTGGATGTTTAGGTAATGCTGCAGTGCAGCAATTGCAATATTGTTAATTTGAGAGGTTTAGGAGATCTTCTCTTTAACTTTCTAGTATTGTTTTTTGTTTTCTTGGTATTTTTGTAATCTATTTGATATCAGCTGTAAATGCTGCACAGATCCTGCAGCCAAGAAGACAGAAACTCCCTAGTAATATTGCTTGTACACTGATTCTATGAATTGTCAGCAGAAAGAGCAAAACTACGTAACATGAACCTGAGTGAGACTAACAGAGGCAATCGCAGCCAATAAATGGGGGACTGCAGACCAGTATCTAGTCTGAGTGGA